TTTAGTCTCCATTACTTCAGCCAGTTATTCAATGAAATAAATTATGAGGAACTTAGCAAACTTTCAAATTGTTTAAGATAAACTGAAAATTCATATTTATGCTTCACTACACTCCTGCCACTGTATATCAACAGTAAACTCATGTCAACAATTGAAGCATGATGCAATGCCAAGAAACAGCTGTATAAAAAAAACCCAAAAAACAACAAGAAACCCCACCCCCAAAACATTTTCTTACTCAGACCTTCTTCCTTTTTGTATCCAGAGTCTTACATGACTACATAGAAATAAAAATACTGTGTAGAGCCACTACAGAAAGTCAGGGTTGCTTCCACTCTCTGCTAAGCCTCAGCGACAGCATTGCTTCATCTTCATCAGCTGTATTACTGGGAAACCACTTCTTCCTTTTTGATTTTCACAGTCCCAAACCAGAGTACCTCTCTCAAGTTCCCTGTGCCCTCAGACTCCATTAAAGATACAACTGTTTTGCACACACATCAGCTGTAAATCTGTACCAGTTTAGCATCATCCTTCAAGACCATATTCAAAAACATTAGTCCCTGGAACTCACCAAAGACACTGACCTCTCATTCCTGGGCCACTCAAAAATGCCGACCTCAGAAGAGGCCTAATCCACATCATTAAGACAGAGGAAGTCAAAAGCCCCAGTCAGGTGCCTCTTGACATCAGAAACAAGCAGATTGCACAGGTACTGTGGATGACCTCATCTGGCCACAAAATTTTTTTTCGAAGGATGAGGACTCTCAGAGCACAGCTGAATGAGTAGGATCAGGAACAATTCCTCTTTATCTTGATAACTAAAAAAAACAAAGCACCTATCAAGTCAGAGTCCCACAGTCTCCTCCAGAGCTCAAGAGCAACTGTCTAACCCAAACACTTCAAAACTGGCACCCACTTCAGTTGCCCTGTGTCTCCCTTTCCCCATGCACGCACTAGAAAAATGACCCCGTACTGAAAATGAAAAGATAGAAAATGCATTAGCAGACTCCTACTGAAGACATGCCACTCATCAAAGAATATGAAACTAACAGCTGAAGTCTTTGAAAAAAATATTTCACACACACACCCCTCCACCTTGCAGTTTAGTTATTACTAAATGCACAAGCTCAGACCAAGATACAACCGTTCTACATCAAGGGTGATACAAGATCACTATCCAGCTCTTCATAGAAATAGAGTCCAACCATGGAAGGAAAATAAGGCATCCATATAATTAACCTTCTGGAAGTAATGGGAGTAGGCAAAGAATTATTCAAATCACAACACTGTCAGGTCTCGACAGCCATGCGTGCACTGCAAGATACAGCCTCAAGCACACTAAGAGCAGAGCACATAGCAACAGATGTCAGCTTCACAATTTTTTCAAGGGTACCACCTTCAACTGTACACCATGTCACAATAATGTAGTGACTACTAGCAAATGAAAAAAGATGGTGCTATAAATCTCCTAGATTTCTGCAGTTTTACTGTCATCCCAAACAAGATGTAACTCAAGCTTCCCCAAGCAGCCTGCGAGACAGGGTTCCAAGTAATCTTGGCTGCAGCCCATGGAGGAAGCAAAACCCAAGAACTTGTGGGTGACACCTTCAGCAATCTCACTTCTTCCCAGGTGACATCAACAGTTATGCAATGCAAAACACTGCTCTGCCCTGTCTGAAGGTCCTTATGGATCTGCAGCTCTAAAAAACACCCAAAATGCTGGCCCTCATACTTTGGAGAGCAACCTCATGTCCCCCCCAGAGTCTCTGTGGTCCCTGGCCTTGAGGGTTCCCAGGAAGATGGACAGCCCTTGCAAAAAGCAGTTCATGGGAAATTCAGAAACTTCTCTTTCCCTTATGCATTCAATGGGGATGGTGCAGAGACTGGACACAGCCAGACTTTCACACTCCAGAGTTCAGGAAACAAAGGCATGAAAGACTCCTACTTCTCCAACCACCAGCAAATGCACTTCAGAGAAGACTCTCTGCTATCACCTTCCATGATGTTATTCAGAATTGCCTCTTACATAGTATTGTTCTTTGGATTTCAGCTCCCGGAAGCCAGCAATTAACTGAAAAGCTCATCTGTCATTTCAAGAGATAATGAAGACTGTCTCATGACTTCTGGGTACCATCTGATTTTTTAATATCTAATTCATACTTTCCAAAAGGCTGAAGTTGCCAGTACTGGCATATTTACATCCTACTACTTCATAGCTTGTCAAACAATCTGCTAGCTTTTAGTCAGTTATTATATGCGAATCCCAACTTTATAACATTTCTAGACAGCTCTAGCATTATCATGGGTACAATTTATACCTCTTCCATTTAATTTAAAAAGACACTGAACTGGAACTGCTCTGGAATAATTCAGTATGAACAATACTCTCCTTCAATAAATCTGTTAAACATTGTTTTCCAAATCTAATGATGAATCCTCCAAATTTTATTTTCATTTTTAATGGAGCTGCATATATTAAAACATACAGCCTTATGAATCATCTTCACAGCCAACCAAACAATTTAGTAATTTTGGACATAGGTTTTTTTAGCCTGAAATAAGTTTTGCTTTCATTATGTGCAAACTACAATGTGTAGCTTCTGAACGTACAGAAGATTCCAACACCTCTGGAGAATAAAAATGTGTTCTAACGAATACGTTATGTGGATAACAGATTACCTTATAACTTAAATATTTATTACAAGCCTATATTAGACAAACTACAAAATTATTCCAGCATTCTCTAATTCACTCCATCAGTCCTAGCATTGTATAGATCAAAGGACATACAGCAGTGAAAGAGAAAAGTGAATACCATAGTCTAACTTTTTATTGTCACTTCAGAAGCAGTTGTTTCATTGCAGCTGCCCTCCTTCTGAGAAAACTTGACATTTTCTCTAGTTGCAAGGCCAGCACCCAGGAGATGCTGAGTATGCTCAGTTAGTGCTCAGAATCTTCTGCAAAGGTATTTCCAAACGCACTGGAGCTTTGGACTGTGTGAAAACAGTCCACAACGGGGACCAAGCCGACTGCCTGCAGTTTGGAGCCCACACTTTGTATCTGTCCACCTCATCATCTGTCTTCTTCAGCTGCCGAGCTCACCAACATCCTCCCCCAAACTGCAGCTCCAACCCCTAAGCAAGCCTCAGCCAAACACCCTACATTGAGTGATCACATGTATTTATATGAATAAAGCCTTTGTTACGGGTGTGCTTGCACAGAGCCAGGGTTACACACAGTCCATCAGCTCTCCATCGCGTGATGCATGTGCACAAAGCTTCCCCTCAGCAACCTCAGCCCTGCAAGACCCTGTCTCTCAGTGCCTTGCTTAGACGTTGCAGCTGGTCCAAGTGCAGAACGAGCTGAGATTCAAATCACCCATTATCCAGGGCTGGCAGACCCTGGTCTCTTGCGTGCTCAGAGGAGAGCAGCCCTTGGGTACAATTTTTAATTGTCATTGTCAATATTTCTTACACATTTTGGTAACTAACATTCTAGTGAACCACAGGATAGCTCAGAACATTTTCTTTTGCAGCAGAGAAACAAACTATGTGGCTGCTTCTTGTTTCTGCCATGATTAAGCAGCCTATCACTCTCCACAACCATACAAGATGACTAGATTGAAATTTTTTCTCTCCCAATGTAAAATAAATCCAGGCATGAAAAGAAAGGCAACTATTTCAGAGGCCATCTGGGAGCTTTAGGATCTTTTTACAGGTAGAAAACTCTGTGATTACAATTACAACGGCACTCTTGAATGTCTCCTGGCTTCTAATCTGTCCATGTGAACTGCTGAGCCTCTATTTTTAATTTAGTAGTACTGACCTCAGTATCTGAATGACAATCTCAGAAACAACACAGACTTAATCACAGCAAGAACTATACGAGAAAGATCCTGCTTCTGACATAAAAATACATTTAAAAAAAAAAAAGTAGTATGGGAAAGCAGAAACTCCCCAGAACTGCTTCTGTAGAAGATTTTTCAGAACCTTTAAAAAAGTATCTGTAATGTCAAAAGGAAACTGAAACGTGATCACGGCAGATCTGCCACCAGAGTATAGACACCAAAACATAACATGTATTCAGTACACTGGAATTGGAGAAAGATGAACAGTCCTGCATTTCTACATTGGGGCCTCTTCTGCATTCTTCTTGCAATAGGGGATCAACACAGAAAGGGCCGGCGCCTCATCACACAGGAGCCTGTCCGCAGTGGGATCTGAGGGAGAAGCAAGACCAGACAGCTTCCTCCAGTGCCGTTACTCTTCCGATGCACCTCCAAGGTTCAGCAGCACAGCCTCTTCCTTCCTCCATCTTCTTTATCCAAGTGGGAACAACACAGATGCCGTTCCCTGTTTTGTCATGTCTATTTTCTTCAATCATTCTTAGGAAAGGCTTCACACTGAAACAACACTTTTCTAGGCTTGTTCTTATAACTACATAAAGGTGTGCATAGTGTACATAGCATGTTACGGCAGACAAGGTTTAATCGCTGTAGTGTACTGACTGGGAGTTCTGCTTTAATACCACGGTGACAAAAGTAATAATGGAAATCAAAAACTTCACAGCCTGCCTGCAAAGCATGGTTAATTGACACCTCTGTCTCGAAGAGTACTGCTTTTTTGGTCTCTGCTGAGGTCTCCACTCAATCCAGGCCAAATTTAGACATCACTGATGTTAATTTGTGCCATCCACTTATTAAATGATTTTTGAAGAGAGAAAATAACCAAAGGACAGAAAATACAGGGCAGAAGGAAGTCAGTACAAAAGCCAACACACTTATCTGACTTGTAGCAGCAAAGAGACATGAAAACAAGAAGGAAGGAAAGAGGCACAGAGTTTCACAGGTGTCACCATTTTCCACTATGCAGAAAAGACAGGAAGATAAACCAGTCTATTACTGGAACAATACTGTCCATCATCTTAAATGGAGGTCACTTCTGCTTTAGGAAAAACAGTTTTATCAAGAACAGCATCATAAATTAAAGAGGCACCCAAACCTTATAGACTTGTCCATATGTCCCATTTCCAACAACCTGCACCAGTTCAAATATTCCTGCAGGGTCCTGCAAAAAGCAGAAGAAATGACATTATTTGCAGGAAAGCAACCACTCCATAATGGAACATAGCTGTACACAATCAAAATGAAAACATCTGTGGCACATCTCCTAATGATCTGTATTACACACTAAAAGGGAATCAGCCAAATAACAGTATAAGAAATATATTAACATTAAAGGTTTTAGTCAAGTTTTTCAAAACTCTACACACGAAACAACATGGCGAAGATTTGCAGCATGGCAGTACAGCAGATACAATAAAAAGATGGAATGCATGAAGAATACAAGAATTCAACCATTCAGTTTAGCAGCAGAATAAGGAATAAACTTCAGGCTTCCTGAGCCTTAAAACACTGAGCTAGCCTGGAGGCTGCTGTCTTCTGCTATGAAACTCTTAGCACTAGCAATGCAACACAGGAAAGATCCTAAATAATAGAATTGAAAAAATACTATATAAAGCGCCTAAGCCCAATTACCTAACGAAAGGGAAATGCATCATCCCAGGTGATCTTAACACTACAGGTGGGCTGAGAACACCCAGTGTCCTGCTTTGCAAACAGAACGAGGTGATTTTGACAGATGTATTGAACTCTTGGCTTTGAACCCAAACTAGATGGCTGCTGATTTACAAAAAAGATTCAGGTGTCAGGTGATCAGTGTGCCATACCACATGAACCAGTTGCTCTAAAACCAACCACCACAGCAAATGTTCTTCCCCAATAATGAGATGTTGCAGCCTTTCAGATATAGGAAGACCATCTTGTTGCAAGGCATGGGCAAGTAAATGTTCACTCCTGCATGACTGAGCACATTAAGGGATCTGTTGCTTCAGTTAAAACTCACTTGAGAGATTTATATAAAAACATTAAGAACTCAAGAGACCAGTTTCTTGGTTTCTGGCTGAGCCATTTATCAGTCCACTCATTTCTTGGGATGATATCACTAAGATATTTATATAAAATATTATTAACTCCATGTGTCAGTTTTACCACATCTGTTTCAGCAATCTGTCATGTCAGTTGATGCCTATTGGTACAGCTGAAGGATGCGATACAGAAAAACATTATCTCAGAAGTGCAATTCCTTCTATGACTCTGGTTGCAAAAATACCCTTTTTTTAAGGTATCAAGCTACTTCTCCACATCACTTACATGGAGGGTTTTTTTAATATAAATAAAGCTTTCTTCATATCTGATAGGGAAATGTTTGCCTCAGCAAAATCCCAGTGGAAACATACAGGCTTTTTTCTGAGCAGATTCTGCCTTTATTGGCACAACTATCATGATGAATGGCAATAGTTTTCACTGTTAGAGCAACACAGCAGAGACTTCCACAACTGAAAGTACTAATCAGTTCATTTGTTTTTGCTTTTAAGTTAAATGAGTTCTAATCTTATACTTCCTGGATTGTCAGTCTCACAGGACTTTTAATTTAAAAAAACCTAATGCATAAACCAGATCAAATCACTTACTTTTGACCCATGCACGAGTCAGTCTGTGTCATTTCTGTCTCTCGTTTTTAAGACCAGGTAGTAAGGCATGGCCTTCCAAACTTAAAGCCCAATTCCAAAAGCCCTCACACAAAAGGAAATCAATAGGATCACTCGCGTACGGAGCTACGCACAAGCATAAGAATGCTTGCAACACTGGGATCTTTGTAAAGTGCTTTGATTCCTTCTCATTTCTTCACTAGTCTTGGACGTGAAGGAGCCATATGCTTTGCATTAGCAGAGCTAAAGTCAGCAATAATCCAGTGCTGCTGCTAAAGCAACAGGTGGGTGGTACAAACCTCTACTTCATGTGCAACCTTCCTACGGAGCTGCGCTGGGGGTTGCACGTGGTCTGTGCAGTAAAACACATGGCACCTCTCTGAGGAACTCTTCCAGATAAGCTGTGCCCCCATGCACAGTATCTACTGTCCTCCTCTGTGGGAAGCACGCGTAGCACCCCATTTCCACACCTCTTCTGCAGAAAGTAGCACTGCTGAATTGAGATGTTCACAGCACGTAGAAACCTTGAGGAACTGCATTTTCAACTCGGAGTTTGCAGTTGCCCCTCTCACTTAAATGCATGCTTTGTCCTCATTCTTCTCCAAGATTATTTATTATGCAAACATAGTAATTTAATGTGCCCCAAAATCAGCTTCTCTCCCTCCAAGCAATTTCATTCTGATTTAGCATCCTAATAGCTTGCTTCTAAAGGTTTCAGACGCTCTAGGAAAACCCCAAACAATTCTCTAAATAAATGTTAGCATTAACTTTAATCCTACCCTGTCCTTGCTAGCCAATTGAGCATTAAAGTCTCAAGCCTCCGCAGCTCTGAGTGCAGCCAAAATACTTGGCCATGTCTCTTCTTTTAATCAGGACACTGTAGTGAACCGAGCCTTGTTAAGAGTCATAAAGGATATTAATCTGGGCTCTGACTTTGGTCCTTGGATTGCCCTTGTTTGCTTGGATATCAGCTCTGCATCGCTCGCTGGCATTTTTCACAATGGGCCAACTTCTTAATTATCCCAGCGTTAGGTATCATCCTTGATGTAGTGCTTCCTCTCTGCTACCATTTAAGCCCCATGGACCGTCTAACCCTTCACCAGCCAGCACCTGCCAAATTGCTAGGTTCGCTTTGACAAATGCCAAAATCCTGGCCTGAACATTCATCACTTTAAGGTTAATTACTGTAATGCACTGTACCATATGGTGGCCTTCTTGCTTTCCTGCAAGTCATCTGCAGAGTACTCAAAAGGCAAGAGCAAGACTGCTGACCCAGAGGCACCCAGGCCACATCCATCTCCTCTGCAAGGCAGAATGAAAATCAACGCACACAGCAAGAGCCCGACTGAGACGCACCATTCCAAATCTCTGCAGCTGAACAAGATATGGGTGTTGGAAGCTCAAGTTCTTCTACGGGGCCTCTGTGCCTCAGTGCCTGATGCAGAGATCAGAGGCCTTTTAACTGTCCGACTGCCCTGATGAACCCAGGGCAGAAGCACCCCAATAAGATGCTCTGGCCACATTTGGATACTACAGCCTTTCCAGAAACCCCCTCCTTCCAGCAAAAGGAGAAAGCCCTGGCAAGCACTCATTTGGAGTGGAGCAAGGCCAGCCCGTGCACGGTGAAAACGACCCCATTCCCAGCTGTGCTTCCCCACTGGGAGGAGCCCAGCACCAGGCAGCTCCCCTTGGCCCCGGGAACACCAAGCCAAGGCAAAGGTAAAGCACCTGCCTTTACATCTACAGCCCAGACTCACCCGCCTCCCACTTCCCGCTAAGCACGAACCCCTAACCAAGGCTGCTGACATGCTGAAAAGGTTTCCTCTGGAAGGACACATCTGTCACGGCTGAAACATGCAGTGCTTGCAGCCTCTGGGAGGCTTCCACGCTGGACGGTTTGGACACCAAGCCTGCTGTCCAGTTTGCAGCACTGCTCTTTTACAAACTTACACTGGTTTCTTATCATTTCTCTAAGGGGGCAAGATTTATCTGCTAAAGCTCTAAAGAACTTCCACTATTTTGTCTTGCTCCCCTGAGCAGAGCCAGATAAACTCCTGCTGGCCTAGCCAGGGGCCTTGTGCCATCTTCACAAACTTTACTGTCTCTGCTGCCTTTCTTCTTTCTGCCTCCGGTCCAGAACATCCCCCTTGCCATGTGATTATTGCAAACGCTTCTCCCAGCCCTCTTTCACAACCCCCCTCCCCTGTATTTTTTTGAAAGTTGCATTCTTTGGTTTCTCTGGGGCTGACTGCTTTTTGCCACAATTGAACTCTTCCCTCTTCTTCCGTGGAGAGCGCTGCAGAAAAAAAACCTGCCTTGGCTGGCCTGTGTTGATAGGTGGCCAGCTGCTATGTAAAAAAGTGAAGTGGAACTAAGGGGCATCATACACAACCCTGCAAAGTGTTTGTGGACATGAAGCACTGACAGTGTGGCTTTTAATGTGGCCAAAGTTTGGTTTCTGTTAAAAACCCTAAAAGCACGAGAGCATAATGATAAAAATTCAGAGCAAAGTAAGTGAATGCTGACTTTTTTCGCTTGGGGGTAAAAAAAAAAAAAAAAGGCAGCCTAAACCTCAACAAAAAACCCACAAAAGCCAAAACCCCACGCACGTTTTCTTCCAGAAAAATAATTTCTCGATTCTTTCTCCCCACAGCTTCACCTCGCCCTTAGGAACGCCGGTAGCAGTAACTACCGCGGGAGGGGAGCGCGCCCCGCCGGCCGGTCCCGCCAGCGAGGGGGCCGCGACCCCTCGACCCCCCCCCGGGCAGGGCGAGCCC